TGCGGGGACATAACATGCTCACGAATCTGACGTCTAACCTTTTTATTTCAGCAGTTTTCTCCCGCACTTTGTCCCCTCTCGTTCTTATTTCTTGGAGCTGCAAACCAAGATATTAATAAATTTAATCTTACATAACGTTATATCTTTCGTGTTAAAGCAAGTGTTCTCTCTTGCAAGCTAGAAAGGCGACGAGCGTTGCTTCTTTAATTAGTTGTTTGTCCATTTGGTTGTCTTTACCGCTCTTTAGAAATTATAGTAGCTTAGATGACAACTCTTAGATAATTTTTTATTTGATTGAGTAAAAACACCTCAAAGCGATTTCCCACTCGCAACTGTATAAAATATCATCTGCTACACAAATGAAGTGGAAGGTGAGGAGGCATAATAATTAGATCGCTAACCTCCGGGTCGAGAGGCCAGGATTCGAGTCCATCCGCGTTCATTTTGTTATGTTCTAAGGTAGGATACGTTCCCACAATACCTCTCTTCACCCAGGAGTATAAATGGGTACCACAGAACTGTCAGCGAAACCTGACGAAATTATGTGGAGTGGTGGGGTAGGTAAACTGTGGTGGGCTAGCATTCTATGAAATACTCCATGTCACTCCCAACCAACCCCTCCCCAAGACGCCGGAAAAGGTCCGGAAGCTGTGCGATTCATTCTCGTATGTGAACCTACACGTACCTTTTTTTTTCAAACAAACAGAAACTTGTTATTTACCTTCTTGCGATTTTCGTCATCTGAAGCCTCCTTCTGACCCACAACTCGTTGTTTTTCCTCCTGCAGTTCTTCAAGTTTTTCCTAAAAAAATACGCCAAAAACCTAAGCTTTTTTCTTTTTTGTGAAAGAGCAGTGGATAAAACTCCACAGTAATAAAGCGATTCCACTCACCGCGATAGGGGCTAAATCTTCCTCGGCTTCCTGTGAAACGAAAGTAAAACAAGAAAAAAGGACTCAGTTTACCAAATTTCCTAACATTTCATTCTGCAACTGTCAAGTGAAAGCTAAAAGTGATAAAAGACGGCACTGGTCTTGATTCATTCATTGTGCAATGTGATTGATCTAGAATACTCGCACCTCTCCCCCCCGTCTCATTACTAAACACTAACAAAATCAGAACAATTCGGAACTTAGTTATCGTCGTTCTCCAGCGCTTACATCGTTTAACAGGTACTTTCTAGAAGTTCTCTGCAGTTTCAAGTGATATTAACCTTTGCTCTGATTGAATGTTGCGATTAAATCAGTTTTGGATTTACGAACCTCAATAGAAAAGCGCTCCAAAGATCGATTGCCATTCTTATTACTACGATATTATAGTTTATGAGCAATGAACAGTTAGCGACTAACGGTTTCTTTGCCTTCTCCCCATATAGGCGCATTTCTTAAATGTTTCTACTTACCTTAATTTCCCTTGCAAAGGCATTGTTGTTTGCGGTGAGTTCGGCTTTTTGTTGTTCTAAGTGAGTTCTCGTCTGCAACTGAGCTTTCAATCGAAGCTATGGAAATTCAGATGAAAGAAAAAGATAGAATAGATTAGATGAAGCAGACAGGCAGAAATACTTTTCGAGCAAAGTTACCTTTTGTGACTTGAGCTCGTGCACATTAGTCTCCAAGTCACTTAGCTGCCGCTGCAGTTGGCTCAACTGAGTTCTTTTACGATCAATGTGGTTATTGAGCGTGTCACTACGAAATAATAAGAGTAATAATATAACGCGGTAACACTGTTGAGTGACATAAAATCAAGAACGACCGGAGTCAAAAGAATTCCTCTATTTCCAGAAGAACAAAAAAATCCAACAGAACAGTGGGAAAAATTCAATAAGAATTAACTGAAAAGCGGGCAGTTCTGAATCAAAACTAAAAGAATCGTCTTTATAAATCACTTTAGCTGATCAAATGTGAAATAAAATATTTTTGAGCGCAAAACTGCAGTAAGGGGAGACCTCAGATCTAATCTTAAACAAATGGGAACCTCCATGAGCCATGGAAACAATTTTTCTTAGATAGAATAGGAGAGATGGTAAATTCTGGGCTCGACAATAAACCAAACGAAAATATTTCGAGAGGAATCGCGCCCAGACCTTCCCATTCTTCGCTCCAAAGCGACACCATTAAGCTACAGAAAACTCCAAAGTGAACTAGTAGGTCATTACTTCAATCATATGAAACAAGCGTCTCAATGTACATATTGGTACTCACGAGCGATCTTGTCTATCGGTGATTTCATTTGAAACTGACTGCATGGTTCTACCTGGCGCTAAAATAAGGAAAATAAAAAAATTAAA